TCGTATATCATACGTCATTGTTTGAGTTGCATTTTTTAGGGTGCATATTGCTGTAATTGACAGTTAAACGTGATGTTATTTTATTGTCACGGTGCTCGAATCACTCGTATACCAAATCGACACTGTATAATAACGTGTATAGTTGTAGTCGTAGCGCAGTCGCGGTGGTTACGGTTCCGAACGAGAACGGGGGTACGAAGCGAGATCGCGATTGTAGATCTTATTGTTACCCAGACGTCCGACGGGTCACGCGCTTCCGTCAAATAGCGCGTAACCGCATACTAAAAGCGATTTTAATAAGAGCCGCGGGTTGTTCACCACGACGAGTTACGTGTGGGTCGGAAGAACGGAATCGAATGCAAATTGTGTGTACGTTCGTCAAAAAACAAATAATAAAAGCGTGGAAAAAAAAGAAAAAAAAAAGGAAATAATAATAGTAATAGGTAAATAAAAACGATTGGCGGCGGCTAAGTATCGTTCAATTTCATGAGCACGTGGAGAAGTGTTTATTTGCGCGCGCGCTACGTTACGTACGTTTATATATTTATAGCAGTGACCGACGAAATGTTTTGCGGTTGAATAAGGTGCGAAATAATAACTCCGAAGACGTACATGGAGAAATAAAAAAAAAACTATCCGGCAAAATCGGAAATTGCAGGATGTATTCTACGTTACAAAAGCGTTTAACCATTAGTGTAAACATCGTAGAGATACGTGCGTGAAATCACTATAAATCTTCGTGGGGAAAAAACCACACAGATTGTGCTCGCATAGTTATTATTTTTAAACAATGATTGACTGGGGTGTAAGAAAAAAAAATAAATAGATAAATAAATAAACTTCGGAGATTTCGACGACCGTAACTGTGAAGGTCCCGCAATCGGTTTTGCCTGTTTTCAAAATGGACGTATGAACGTACAGATTTAAACGGCAGTGAATAATTATTTCTACGGTTGGATATTTCAAGCTAGATTATTGTTTTCTTTAAACAACAGAAAAAAAAATGTACATTTTATTAATTGAAATTGTCATTATGAACTGGTTGATATTATTCTTGCTACGCTTACATACACGTTTCCCGATCGCATAAAAAGTTTTTGGTTAGTTTAAAAATTAATTAATTATTTTTATCATCTAAAAAAACGTACACACCTGAGTAGTTATTTAAACACGCCATTGTTAACATTGACAATAATCAAAAATTGGTTTTTTATACTAATCACTTGTTAGATTTTTGTTTTAGATTTATAATATTCAAACTCTAAATACTCCCAATTAATAGTAAGTTGTGAGAAGGAAATACATTTTAAAATACGAAAATTGATTTTTTAGAAGTAGAAACTATATACATAGTTTTATACTAGTATAAGTTTTGAACAAGCAATTAACTATATTATTTTTAAATACGTATTTTATTCTATTTTATTGTGTTCGTCTTGTTATAGTTAATGAAAATTACTTACGTTGCGTACTGAGAATTAACACTTATCATTCATATTAGTATTTCCCTTTTTGGATGTATATTTTATCTAATACAATTTATTGATGATGGATTTATCCGAAAAGGGTAATATTATATTTCGATCCATGAAACCATTAAATTATAACTACCTTTAATATTCATTATTATGAATACACTTGGATGACACTTTAAAGAATTTTAATATTTATAGTGTAAAATCTTACATAGATTGCATTTACTGCGTGTGGAATTTAAGAAAATTTGAGCACCCGATGTTTACCCCGAAGCACCCCGATATAAAATCATTCATGCGTACATTACTTTTTGCGTTTTCATAGAGTTAGGTATGGAGAGTGCAGTTTGGAGTTTGAGGGAGACTCTAGAAGTCGCTTCTCACAATGATTAATGGTCGCTGTTATTAGTTGTATAATATACGGGTTTACATATATTTTAATACTTAAGTTTTTCTTTTTTTTGTCACTGCATTGTTCTCAATAATAATTGGAACATCGTAATACAATGTGTTTTTCATTCTTTTTTTTTCGGTCACTGCATATATGTGCGGGTACTTTTTTAATTCGATCAAAAATCAAGTGTATGTAAATGTATACACAACGTACATGTCGTTAAATTATCTTTCCCGATTACCCGGGAAGTTAAATTTACTTTTTAGCGCATGCATGATTTGGATGATCGTAATGAAAAAGTTGAAATAACATTTTCATACACGCGAACGAGTAATTAAAAAATATACATACTATTTTACACATTCACGTAATCATGCGCGATTATCATATCGTTTTGTACGGAGAAAAAAAATACATCAAAAAATATCAATTATGACCGGCCACTTAACTCTAAAGCACTCGCACGCACGCACGAATAATATATTTACTGGTTTGATTAACATGGAAAAAAGGAAACACGCGAATGATTTTGATGCGCCGCAGGTTGTTAAAAGGTTACAGTAAACGGTGTGTTTTGAATACGTTTAACCGAAATGAAAACAGCGTTCACCGTCCGAGTTTGCTTTGATCTCTTCGTTCGATCCGCTAAACCGCACAACGTGGATCTCGTTGTCGTTGTTGATCCTCGACCAGTTCGTGGCCGGGTCAACTGTGCGGTGTTGTTGTTCGCGCTCGCCGATCAGAAATCTGCAGGTACGTAGCGCCTCCCCGTGGGCGCGACCCGTGGACACCGGTGTCGACGAAGACCTTTTGACCGAGTTAACGGTCACGTTCCCAGAGAGCATCGTAAAACACAATGACCACGACGGTGGTGTATATACGACGTATCATGCGCACGTAACGTCATAACTGAGGAGTACTTACACACAGCGTGTAGGTACATCGCATGCACGCACAATAACAGAAATAATAGTTATGGAAAAACGAGTGCGGCTGAGAAGGGTGCCCGTCGGATAGGTCATGCGGCGAGCGAACATCAATATTATCCGTTCGGAGCCGGTTCGTGCATATTTATTTCTCTATTGACCAGTCAAACCGTATTATGTGTATTAGAAAAAAAGATTTGTGTGCACGCCGTGTGTCACCGCCGTCGCAGCCGCCGTCACCATCAGTTAACCGGCCAAGTTTTTTCATTCTATTTTTTTCTCTCCTACAGACTTTCACGTACTCGTATGCGTGCGCACGGTAACGATTATACGGTGATGAACAAATATAATAGTTGATTATTGGGAGATGAAAACATAAAGAAAAATATTAGCCTCGGGGAGGCGAATACGGTCAAACGAAAACCATCTTTGATAAAAAACGCACATTGTGCATCGATCTGGACGTGGCGAGAAACAATGAAAATATCGAACCGATTAATCTACCACGTACCAAGTCTGAATGGTTCCGCGTAAAAATCATAAATTTGTAGGATGTAACTAATTTTTATCAATAATTATTCTTTCTATGATCATAAAATTTTCGGAGCGTACGATATAGCAATCGTTTGCCTTTACTTTTAAATAATTATCGTACACAACTTTCAAAGATTAACATATTCTTTTACGAACATGACAATAATGTTCTTGTAGTCTGATAAATAAAAATAAAATAAGAACATAAAAAACTATTGTTTTTATATTTTTTCAGAGTTTAATATCTAAATATACCATAAATACGAGTATATGCTACAATATCAAAAATGTTCACATAAAATCTTTCTAGTACGTTTTTATAGACATTGAGGATCATTCTATGTTCTGATTTTGATTGAATCTGTTAAAATTGTTTTCGAATTATCTAAATATTTATACTCGTATGTATTTTAACAAGAAAAGGGTTATCAACGATTACATAGCTCCCGTTTCTTCCAGCCCAAATTATGAGGTGTCACGTTACCCGATATTTAAATGTAAACTTAGTTCAAACTTCATTCGTTAACTTTTATTAATATTCTATAAGTTTAGACTTATTAAACGTACTATGTTCAAAAAAACTTTAAGTTTAACTGTACACTACAGTTCAGTTCTATAAATTATCCTTTCAATACCTATCTAGATAAAAATCACGATTCACGCCGTATAATATATAAGCGCTGATTATTCGTTTATCTGTACATGTATAATATGCTTCCACCATCGAGTTGGTGTGAACTTTAATTTTTTTTTCTTTTTTGTAATTTGTTAAGATATTGTTCAATACAAAAAAAAAAAAAAAAAACTGATGTAAAAAAAAGATATTACCTACATATTCAAGATATTTAACCCCGCGTTGCTTTAAGCCGTGACTACATATTTGTCGCTTGTCCGTTATCTGTATACTTAACTAGACTCGAGTATATGCACAGGCATACCTACACGGAATGAATACGATCGGTAAGCATATCGTTTCATCAAATAGCCACAGTAAATTATTAGTCAGTCAATTAAAAAACCAATCGTCGGTTAAATTATTCATTCCGTTTATCTTTTAAAAGGAATTATTCGCTATCATAATAGCATACAGCGTGTACGACGGAAAACGTTTTTAGAATGATAATTACGATAAAAATAAAATAATTAATTTCCGAATACGAAGCGTACTTGGTCCGCAAGCTACCGATACTCAACACGAGTTTTATCGTATAAATGCAGTTATACTGTTTTGTAATCCGTAACCCACATGATCTCATAACAACTCGTGAAAATTGTTTTGAAAAATCGCCAAGAAAATTGTATAAAACATTCAAAACTAATCGTAAACTTACCGAATGGATCATTTGAATTGCCCATTGTAAAATTATATCGAACGACGAACTGATTTCTTTTTGGTTACTGTACTCGGTTAGTCGGTTTTAATTCGTATTCTTTTGAACGTACGAGCACGCAGGTGATGACGAGAAGGCAAAAAAGGTTTCTTCGAACCACCTACGTATGGATATATATATTTATTTATTTATTTTTTTTTTTTTTTGTAATTCGTATCATTATATTCTTCTTGTTCGAGTGAATAAATTCGATTAGACCTGCAGAGCTTCTTGCAGTGCATTTACAATCTATGAATATATACGTTTTTTTTTTTTCATACACGTGTTTTGATTGTTTCAGATAAGGCACAGATTCGGTTGCTACGACCAGGTGACCGAGGTGAACAGACTCAGAGTGCGTTATTGTAATTGGGTCCGGTTTTTGAAAATCACGCAGCACCATTCCGAACAACATGTCAACGTATTGGGAACCAAAATAAAAGGTACGACGCGCATCAACAACCGGTTCGATATACGCGCGCGCGCACACACGTATATACGTTTTTATTTCCTAACCGAAATACGTTTAAATTATTATTATTTATTTTTATTCACGACGATTACGCGATTATTCGGGTATCTTGCCGAACCTGTTCGGGGTTTAACACTGTGTGTGGACCTCTCGTGTGGACGCTGCCGCGCGCGTTCGCGCACATGTGAACCACCGGAGACCCCGTACGTTAATCTCCGCGCGTTTCGTTACGTTTTTTTATTTTTGTTTTTTATATATACACATATTATTATTTATTTCACGTCCGGTACACCGTGCATTATGTGTTTTGTTTGCCCCCGCACGCAGGCGAACCCATGTACGAAGTGATCAAAAACATACCCGCGAACACGGAGCTGATCGTGCACTATCTGCCGGAGCGGCCCGAAGAGATATTCTTCATGCCCGCGGTGCACTACCTGAGGAACACGCTGTACAGGCGCACCATGGACACGATTCTCGAAGGTGAGTGTGTAGCGGCCCCCGCGAGATATTCCTCCCCCCTACCCCGTACGAGTATCCTTATCGATCGAATTCTCGCGGCACATCTCCCGGGACACGGTCGGGGCCGAAGTACGGTCGCGATGGCCGATAACGCGGCATCGCCGACACGTGTTTCGCACGGCGGTGCCTTGAGACGCTTACGGGCCGGGAACCGTTGCAATTTCGCGACCGATCTCGTCGATTAGCATCACAGCCGACGGTATTCGTGATCTCCGATCGTTGCCGCGGACCGGCGTCGTGTACGGTTTTACGCCCGACGTTTACGTGTACATTAACGGCGTTGTCACACAGGCACTACGTTGTTCTGCGGGTACGTTATTTTTGTCGTCGAGAGCTATTCACATCGAATCGTATGTGTTTCTGTTGAAAAAAACACGGATGTAACCCCCCCCCCCCCCCCCAGTGATCCTCATCGTTTTCTCGTTCGTGTTACTTTTAGCCAATAGAATGAAACACCGTGTCACTCTAACACAAAATTAATAAATAATCTTAACCGTGTATTTTGGAATAATTTTTGAAAAAACAAAAAAAAAAAAACACAGTACATAGAAAAATAATGAGTACACCGATAATTTATTTGAGTTGCAGGGTTCGATAAACATTGACAGTTAAAAGTTTAAGCTTGTAAATTAAAAAAAATAATAATAATGATTCGTATGAAAACTGATGAGGAATTGGGCCCGGATGGTTTTTACAAAGTTGAGGAATTCGAGGGCTGATGATGGAAATATCGAGTATCATATTGTCTTCTAGAGTTGTAGTGCTATAACACTACATATATAGCGACTGTGAAATAACTGACTAACGACCCTGGCTAAATCAATAAGATAATTGATAATACAGTGATTTTGCAAATCAAAATACTGCATACCGTATTTATCAGATCTAAATAATATAAAGACACAAACTTAAAGGGTATGATTTTTTTAGACAGATGTGGCAGTAATATGATTTTATTAAAATTAATTATTTTTTTCTTTTTTTCTTGGAGATTTCGTGTCACCCCGGTTGAGAACCACTGGTGTAACCGAAAACAAATATCGATTTATACCGTACTTAATGCTGAAATAAAATACGCAAATCATTCATTTTTGTTAATTTATCGAACGTTTGTGTATTAATTCTAAGACAATTATACACGTATAGTACACAAATCTTAGTACTTGTTCGTTTTACAATCTCGTTAAAGCGATCAACACCGCAACATCGCTTAACGCGTATTATAAAAATACAAGGGTGATTTCGTTTCATTGGGGTTCTAAGGGTTTTACGAGTACCTGAGGCATTTTTATGACCGTTCAGTTGGATCTTCGGTCGAGAGCGCGCAATGAGATCGTAACGAGTTTTACGGATGTCGGTAGAAGATCTAAAAAACCAGCGGTATACCGACCGTCGCGTTACGTTTTCAGATACGATCTCGTTATGGGAATCGTCGATTTTCGAATTCGACGTCGTCGTCGACATTGTATAATAATAATATATGTGTAGTACACGCGGGCGCGTGATAATACATTTACGAAACGGTCGCCCGACCCGGCGTCAGACCGATCTAGATAAAATCGTTGTCGGGCCCGGTGAATCCGTACCGTACGCACACGCACAGGCGCTGTATATGCAGAACAAGTGCTACTGTAATAACGTGATGGCGGTGGTAGGTAAAACGTGTACCGCGGACGACGTCCACCAATAGTCCGTTGTGCCGTGGCCCTGTAATTGAAGCCCGTGGATAATATGCAAATGGGAGACTAATTGAATCGCGATTCTGCGCGCGCGCACACAACGCGCATTATATTATACGCGCACATTGCATGTGGTCAAACAGAAGCCGGTGGTTAGGTATTATGATAATAATAATACGTGAATGAAATGAAAAACAACGACGACAATAATTACACCGCGGTATATAGTACATAATATACCCGGTAACAGTGATACGCGTTTTACGTGCACATAGGTATATATACCTGTATAACGTGTGTACGAGATTATTATTATTATTGTACGCTCACGAACGCACGCGCGAAACGTATGCACATCGATGGCGGCGGCGGATAAAACAATGGAATCGTCGGCGCCTTTGAGACCTGTTGGGGGGGGGGGGGTAGGGAGCCCCCGGAATGCCATATTTATCTTGAGCGGCCGCTGTACGTGTAGTATCATCGCCAAGGTGACGCGGCGGCGACGGCCAACAATTCGGTGCATTCCGCCGGTGTGACACGACTCTACCATTACTGCGGTGGTGCGCGTTCACGGCAGCGGTTCGATTGATACCGACTGCGTAGTGCATTTTTGCATTTATTCGTATTTAAACGCAATTGTTTTTAATGTTCATCCACAATGGTCGTAGTCGGCCGTGCCATTACCTCTGGCACCGCCGGAGACGTACGTATTTTCATCGCCGCGCGGCGTACGCGTCGCACTCCGGGATGATCGTTGATCGATCTCCCCGTCGCGATCGCATCGATCGGGGATTGTGCGGACTCTAAAAAGGAAAGCGGAGAAGCGTAACCAGTAGAGAATCGCTGTCAGCAAAAGAGAAGAGGGTTATATACGAGTACGAACCGGTCGAGGGTCGTCGAAGAGAGAACGGAACAGTGCACCCCGATCACATAACGCGATCTAACCGCTGGATACGAAAAATATTGTACTTTTTTCCATCGTACGCCCAGAGCTTTTACGTGAAACGTCTACTTCGTGCATTACGGTAGTCGCGTCGGGTTAACGTAAACCGTGTCAACGGTGCGTTTATCTCGTCGTTCCACTGTTTTCCGGCGCTCACCTGCAGGAATACTAAAAAATGCAGAAATATTAGAAATACATTAAGTACTATCGACAATCATATGCGACCGACGAGAGTAGCAGACGACTTGATATTTTTAATTCCTAGGTGACGGCGAATAACATGTGTATCCGTTCTGTGTAGAAAGTCATATATTATATTTTAATATGATACGTACCTGCGATTTCATGCGTCGGACGTGTTGATCCAATTAAAATAGGCGCGTAAAGTGGAAATTACAGTTCTTCATAAATATATATTCTACAGTAGCAGCAATAATAAATGGAATAACGTTTCACTCGGTACTACGCACACCAGTATTTCCGGACGATGATTCCCCCGGTCATAATTTAGCAGATACATTTTCAAAATTAAACATTAACCGTATATATATATATGTATTACTGTTATTCTATGTGTATAAAGTAAATCGTAAAAGATGATCAGCGAAACTCGCGCCGATTGTTTGCTTGATATATTAAACGTATCGGTTAAATGCGAAGAATAATTTGTGCGTTTGTAAAAAAACGAAATTAAACTATACAACAAACATGTTTATTAATATACCATAGTTAATGAGTACAAAATATACAAAATGTACTTTATGTTATTATGTTCGAGAAGACATTGTCAAAATCACCACATCCCAGGTCGATATACGTATTTCGATTGGACGCAATGTATGAGAATAGATATACTGAAAAAAGAACCCACTTGATTTTACATTCTACTTCCTGTGTAGCTCTCGCAGTGGCTATTGTGACGATCGTAAATCAAGTTAGATAGAAGTTTACGTATTATAAACACGCGGTGGACGATGGCGGCGGTGGCGAAGAAAAAACCGAAACGCACGCGCATTTTGGAGATCTATGGATGTCCGCGGCATGTCATCAGGCCATCAGAACATTTAATTTTTTTTCCTCGTGAAAAGAATTGGGTCCGGCAGTACCGCGCGTGTGCCACGGGACAAAAGAACGGCCGTCGAAAAAGTCAGAACGAGCTCTTTTCAATTTCAAAACGTGACGTCTGCAATAATGACCTACAAACCCGTGACTACGATGGTAGGAGTAGCAGCACACTTCGTCGAGCCAGCCATTGTCTCTGGGACAACACTAGGTACGCCTTAAGTTTACGATCAATCTCCAAATCTGAACACGAAGTGTTCAGTGCTTCGGATCTTTCCTTCGCCGTAGCCCCGTCGTCACACCCATGTCCAAAAGTCTCGGAATCTTATCGCGATCGTCCGACCAACGCTTTAAGCACACCGTCCGGCTGAGTCAGTCATCTCCTGCTCACTCCCGCTATTCCTCTCCGGTGTTCTTTCGCGCCTTCAACACCATTAATGCACAACACGTTCCCGCAACCAGAAGCCATTGATCAGTCATGTACAACGCACGCGACTATATATAATATCGGCTATTGTAAACACGAGTCAGCGATTTGTTCCTTATTTTTATATACGCGTATAACTATTTTTTTGCCTCACCTTCTCTTTCTCCCTATTTCTCTCTCTCTCTTTCTATTCTTCCGGAACCGAATCTAACAAGTGCACATTAGGTACGCACGAGCCACTCTTGTACGTCTGCATCGACAATGCACTTAAAATTTCCTCGCACATCCTTCATCTCCTGCTACGTGTTTTCCTTTACTGCTCGCCGATATAATAGTGAATGCAGTAGCCATCATAATCACGACTCGCCGATTGACCACCACGTCCTGCCTAATTACGTTCATCCGTCAATGTGATAAGTAAAAACCGGATTTTGCATAAAATGCATGATGCTATTTTCAATATTATATAAATGTAGTCAATGAGTGTCCACAAATCTTTAATTGATTGATTAAAAATCAAAATTTTAAACGGCATATTTTAGCATATTCTCACGTTAGTGCATGTTCTGCATATTTTTACATATTTTAACAAAATAACCGGACAAATATACACCTAACAATCCAAAAAGGTGTTGAGTAAAAAAAAACCGATTATACACGTATTATTATTGCACGAGTGTGTATTATCTCCACTTTATTTTGATAAAATATTTAGCAGTTAATTCGTAAACAGTGTCTATTGACACTACCTAGACTGTTCGAATGTACTCGAATATGATTTTATAAGATTACGTTCACGTGCATTGAATAAATAAAGACTATATGAAAAATTAAGTTACACAAAATGTCATTGGTCCTGATCCCTTATTATAAAATCATTGGAAAGTGGATAAGCTCAATTATAGTTGTTCGTAAAGCAACTCAACGGTTATCCGTGAGAACGGTGGCTACGTATTGTTTTCAAATTTTTTTTTACAAACATCGAAAGATAGGAAAATCTCAACTCTGTTTTAAGACCAATTACATTCCGGTCCCCGAACGATCCACGCACGCGTGTTCTGTTCCTGCCCGTGCATGCAAAAAACGTGTACTTAATGTATTATGTATGCGTTACTTAAATTAATTCCATGCAGACGAAATGACCTTGTATCACGTGCGTGTGAATAATAATAATGATGATGATAATAAATAAATAATGATAAAGACAATACTTATTATGTGTATATTACGTATATAGCACCGCGTTTAATATGCTACCAGTGCAAAACATATACAATGCGTCGGGGTTTAATATGTATTATTACTGTATGGTAATGCGGTATCGAATTTTGAAACCAGACCGGTGGTAGCCATCATCAGTGTCGTCCGTCCGCAGCCAGCCACTTAAACGACTCTCGACGCGCGTTGTTTAGGGCGCAAAATGAAAAAAAATAAAAGATTACGGGGGTGGTGGGGGGGGTTTGAAAAAACACGGAACACCGTCTTTATATATATACATATATATATGTGTGTAAAGAGAAAAATAAAAACGGTGACGGAGAGCGTTGAAGCTGCGGTACACCGATCGAAGACCAATATCGTTGTATAATAATGTGTGTACGGTTTGTCCATTGTTCTGCGGTGGCTATCGGTGATTGTGCGGCTTCGACGGCGACAATATATGTGTATACCCGTACCGTATACGCTACATATCAGCTTCGATACTCATTTCCAAACGGTAGCGGCACGTCCTTCTATTGTTCGGGGCCCGCCATCGCCCGGTCGCCCGGTCGTCGTCATCGTCGTCGTCGACGGGTATTGTCCTTTAGTCGCTGCGCACAAACGCACAGCGTTTCCACGACGGTGTCACGGACTTGATTTGCGTCCGTCTGTCCGTCGATCGATACGTCGAAGGTTTAAGAGGGACTTCGTCGCAACGAAAAAAAACCGCCGCGTTTATAATGCCTGAGCACGTGTATTTTATTCTGTACGTATTGCGCTACATAGGAAACAGTATTATGTACGCATTACAAACGGTTTTTTTGATTTTTTTTTTTTTGCTTTTTCCATAGCCCGTTGGTGCACAAATATACGTAATACGATAAGACCCTCGGCGTAGAAAACCGTGTCGTTGGCGTGCTATTTATCGGCAATCGTTAGCATCATACATAGTTGTAGACACTTGTATTATTCAAAATTGTGAAATAATAATACCGAAACGAAGGTGGAAATAAAAAAAAGAAATAAGATAATATGAATGTCGTCGGAACGACGAACACCCATCGCCATCACGTGAACATTTTGAATTTCGCCTGCCTACACGGGCAAAGGATAAAATACCATCAGAGGCGGATTTATCTTTTTTTACAGCTATAGGCACCAACAATTTGTCACCCCTATAATAGGCGAAGAAGTTAGATTACCTCTTCCAAAATACCTAATCTAAATATTAAATATATAAACGTATGTACCTACATCCATTTGAAATTTTAGACTATTTTTTTGCTTTTACTAATTAATCTACTTTGGGAAAATGTCAATGGATGTCCACTAAATTTCAATAAAAACAGCATAGGATTATAGTCGAATTAGTAATATAATGCGGCAGTGGGGGCATTTATTTTTTCCCGAAATTCTAACGATAACATATTAACATAATGCACCCCATTATTATACAATTGTTTTTCGTAAATATAAAGTAATTAATTTTCCAATTTTTCTCATACGTTTGATGTTTTTTAATAAAACACTACAGAATTTGCTGCCCTGGGCAGCTGCCTACAGTGCCTAATGAGAAATCCACCTCTGAATACCATTATATTACTGTGCTCAGGTGGTACCCGTTACAAATCTGTGCGTAGGTTTTATTGGTGCGCGCGTTGACAATGGGGTCGTGCACGATTTCGTCGATCGCCCCAGTAGTACTCTTACGAGAAATTTAATCATAAGAAAAATCATTATTATTTCATCACGTATTTTGAATGATGAACGTTCGGAGGCTTACAGACGGTTTCTGTTAATCTTGACAAGTGTCGTCAAAGATCTCGTATCAATATCATTTTTCTGCAGTGCTCGAAAGGATCTGATTATTATTTTTGTGACGATGTTACATTTATTTTGCACACAAGACATGTGGATGGTACCTACTGCTTCTTTCGGTTGTAGCTTGGAATACTAAAATTTTTCTTTGTAAACTTTCTAAATTTCGATTCTTTTAACAAAAAAATAAAATCTTGTTTCTAGTTAATTTCTATTTAATTTTTGTTTTACCAACATTAACAGAAAATACAATTTTAATTACTACTTATAATAGCATAGTATATGCTAACATTAATTTATCATTTACAATGTATCTCTTCACTAACTTTATTGAAATAAAATTATGTATAAATGAGAAATCTATGCTATTATAAAAATATTTGAAATTGTAGTCCTTTTTATGAAAATACTGAGAAAATCAAAAAGTTTTTTGCAGTTTATACCTTAAGTATTTAATTTTCTACTATAAATAAGAATAAAATATACCATATAATAAATGCTAATTAATAGAATACTAAAAAATAATATAACTTTTAAATATTTCTTGATCCGTTAAAATTTAAAAGCAGTTTGTAAGGAAATATAATTTATAGTAAATTTTACATTTAAATTTGTTCAGTTTTTATAACACAAAAATTCTCAATTCAATTTCAATATTTTAAAAATGCAACATATTTTCGTCAAATCCATCCAAAATGATTTATAAATCAATTAAAAAATTTTAGGTTCATTGAACTACACAATATATGCATACTACTTATGTAATTACAAGGCTGAGTATACATTCGAGATCATGATTTCATTAGTTATTCGGGGCTAATAAATAATAAATAACGAACATCACAGAATGCAGAACATAAAACTATTAAAGATAATAATATTATGTTTGAAAGTATAAGATCGATTAAGTTAGTATAATATCTAATTATTATGGTAAATATTTTAAATTAATAAAAATAAAAACTAATATGAAGAAGAAGAATATGTTATAATTATTAATTATTTTCGTCGTTTTCTCAAAAATAACTGTTATTATAATGTTTATAACTTGGTTTGGTATCCTCTTTGTTTATTATTGTTTATTAATTATACCAAAAATTGTTAATGAACGTAAATTAAAATATAAATAAATGCTTAGCACGGAGTATAATCATATTTGTATATTACGACCGGTTTTGAATTAAAAATTCATCGTCAGATATGTACAAAGTTAATAAAATCGCAATTAATAATAACATCTAAAAATTAAGTCGCGATTTTATTAAATTTATATATGTCTCATGATAAAGTTTTAATTCAAAACCGGTCGTACTATACAAATATGATAATACTTCATGCTAAGCATTTATTTATTTCTATACATAAACTATTTGTTTATTTATTTGTATATTAATTATTTATCATATAGGAATTATTTAAGCTTAACATTTATTTTTGCATACTTTATAATAATGATTACCTAAAATATTTACAAAATAATTATATTTGCGATTTTTTTCAATTTACTTATTCAACTCTTAATTTTTACATAAAATATTTTAATAATAATAAAAAAAAAATCTTAAATTTAACTATCTGAAACAGAATATTTTTAAAATTTAGAAAATATTGGGGCAAACAAATTAAATAGTAAATTAATTAATAGTTATCGATTTATAATTATTTATAATTTTAATGCACGAAGTAGAGAATACACATTTTGTGAAATAATCTCTGCTCTTTTTCTCAACGATATGTTAAACGCTTGTTATTTTATTTTATAAAGGTCAGATATGACTTGTAACCAATGGCGGTTTTTTAATTTTTTTTTTGGGGGTCCTTTTACATTATAAATAGGTATTATAAAACGTTGTAATTTCAAGTAAAAAAACTAGGAAATAGCTGTAACAAACATTCATATATACGGACATACGGTTGAAATTATCTGGTATAAGCCTATAAGCGTACATACAAGCATATATACATATACAAAATATAATATATTTCAACCTAAAGGCGTGACCTGGGGGGCCCAGACCCTCTTAACCTCCTTCTTAAAACCGCTACTGCTTGTAACTTACAGAAATAAGTAAAACTTCTCTACACAAATTGAAAAGTATATAAAATCAAATGTTGACACATTTAATATCGATTTTGTAGAACGATCAAAGTGACCACGCAATTGAACCACCAAGTCTTGAGAGAACATGCAAATTCATATAAGCGTTCCTATTTATCTTTTTGATCCTGATTTCATTATTGTTTTTCTTTTTCGCTTAGATTCACCGTTAGACCTGTCTATGTCACTATTATCCAGAGTATATGGAACATCTTCCGCTTCATCGGCATCTTCACCACCGAGTGGGCTGGACACTGATGAACGTAAATCATTGTCTGGCGAATCTTCATCAGCAAACTCGCTGTCCGGTGACATGACGTCGTTGGATCATCACGTGAACATGATCGTGTCCACTCCGGTGAAACCAAGACCATTCCGCGGCGAACGAACTCTTTTGCCGTGCGAGGTGTGCCGCAAAGCTTTTGATCGACCGTCGTTGCTCAAAAGGCACATGAGAACCCACACTGGTACGTTGAAAGTGATCGATGGAAATGTATTTGTTTTTTCCGCGTTAAATGTCTTTAACCGTATAACATTATAACATTTTAACGTAAAACACTACAATACATAGACAACAATAATTATTCTTCTGTTAAATGTCTCCATAAACATTTTATTCGAAAATGTATTTATGCTTTATTTAATTGTTTTGAAGAATTGCGATTACTTTTTAGTTTTGATTTAGTGATTAGATCTGTTATCGTTTTGCCGATTTTCTTTATTGCTTTTTACGTTTGATGCCATCTAATTACACCCAACAACAACTGAATCGATTATTTATGAAAGTTAATAAGTTATAATTTTTTGGAAAATTACTTCTTTTTATAAATATTTTCTGTGGATCAGTGGTTCCCAAACTTTTACAATCATGGAACCCTTTAAAAATAGTTTGTGTTTCGCGGAACCCTAATGTCTTTAATTCCAATTCAACTCTAATTATTCTAAAAAAAAAAAAAAAACAATACTCTAAGAAATCTTTTTATTGACACTTTTAATATTGTTAATGATCACTCTTTATTAAAATAAGTTTAAAACATAATTTTTATGAAAATAACAAACATTTATTATTTAATTATTACAAATTATTTGTAACGATATTACTCTAGGAACAATTGTTTTTTTAAATAATATAAAATAATATTTTTTCCAAATATAATATAAAATAAGTTTCTCAATAATCACATACATTTGGCGGAATCCTTAGCATTGTCCCACGGAATCCTAAGGTTCCGCGGAACACACTTTGGGAAACGCTACTGTAGAGGATAGTTTACTTTTGAATGAAGTCAACTTCGTATGATACTTATTTTACTATGGCGGTTCAAACATTTAGTTTATTTATGAACAGTGCTTAGTACCGTAGTCGACCCCATTCATAAATAAATACAAATCTTGCCGATCAAACTGTTTTGATAATAACAGTTTTTAATTTACCGAAAGTTTCACTTTTTGGACTTGATCCCTATTATCAATATATTTTTCTAGAATTTTTTTACGTTCAACAATAATACATGCCATCGTCATTCTTATTTATCTTCTCTTCTTCTTTTTTTTTTTTAAACTTCAGTAACGTCAATAAAATTAATATTTGATTATTAAAATTTGTATAGGTTTAGTAATATGGTTTTGATATCGGTAATTATCGTAAAATTGAAAACAAAAACAAACGATACAAGCATTTTTATTAAAAAAATTTTATCAAAAAAACGTACTTTTTTTCTAAAATATACAGATATAATGTTTTAAATTAACCATGCACGTATGCTGTAATAACTTATGATTTCATATATGAATAATGATTTTTATAATTTACAATATTATTTTAATTGGCTGCCGGTGTGTATACAGTCATTCTATATTTTCAAAAACTTTATTGGGCGTTGATTTCTCAAAGATCCGATGACATTTCGTACAGGAAACCCGACGGTTAGCAATTAAATCCGTTTATCACAAACCGTCTCGTAGTGGAACTAATCTTTCACGAATCAATTACGGTATACGCGAACCGATTTCACGGTTGCTTTCGAAGACCGGATGATGACATTTTTTTCGTGCATACTTTTTATCCGTATTGAATTCGGCGATTAAATCCCACGGCCGAGCAGATCTGAATTCATGGCACCAATCCTGTTCGTCGACATTCGCGTAACATGGCTCCACAGAATGTAGTAGGGACATTTACGCAAACACGCGCGCGCACACAAAATAGAAATATTACCAGACCTACATCGTGTATCGTTATTTTAGGCGAAAAACCTCATGTTTGTGCCGTGTGCAACAAGGGATTTTCAACGTCCAGCTCGTTGAACACGCATCGGCGGATCCACAGCGGTGAAAAACCGCATCAGTGTGGTGTGTGCGGAAAACGGTTTACAGCCAGCTCTAATCTCTACTACCACCGAATGACTCACATAAAGGTAAGCAGCATATTTTTTCGGTTGATATTATAGCATATTGTATACATAATATATAATACGTGATATTATAATGTATTTTGTAATATAATATAAATATTGAACTCGTCTTTTGTCTGTAAGTCGTAATCGGTATTTTTTTATACAATTCGACATACTTGATTCTTGGGTAGTTGACATTTCTGTAAAATGAACACAAACCACGTTTGTTCTACTACTTTTCATTAAACCCGAATCGTTATAATAAAACTTCTAAAACAATATACGAAACCATATCATATTATTATCGAAGGTTTTTTAAACTACCGATTGAAAATTAAAATTAAAAATATGATAATCGATCATCCAAATAGCTCACGATGAATGATTTTAGTTGCATTTTACGGTAATAAAAGTGTTCTATCATAATCATATTATTATTATCAGATCTGTATACTGTCAGCCGATGGCTTTATAAGATAAAGCTTAAGACAGGATCCTATACAACTGCAGTAGGCTGTAAACACATGACATACACACACACACACACACACACACACACACACACACACACACACACATACATTTTAATGTTCGAAGAATCACGCAAGATTATGGGTCTTTAATAATACGTTTGAACCAGTCTATGAGGCACAGAGATTATTATTATCTCCGCGCACGGTAGATTGGTTAGCATATAGCATATAGATTTTTTTTAACTTAAATTATACATGGAATTAAAATTAAAATCGTGTGGAACACCGAACACGTAACACCGAGCTACTTACTTGTGGCTGGGTCGGGCGCACGGCAATGATGGTGTCCGGATATCAGTGGTTTAATTTCATGTTTTTTTTTTTTTTTTTTATCATTATTATTACGTTGTGTTTGCAATTTAAAAAAATAGTACGTATTAATATAATAAACCAGAAAATAATTTTTAATAATTCGATCGATTTTGTCGTAAACACGAAGGAAAAAGTTGTTCCCGACGTGACTAGAACCTTTATATTAAATTCGTTTATATTCGGTTGTATGCGGTTTAAATTTGGATCCGAAATCCATCTCGTCTAACCGGTTGACGACGATATACATTAGCTATATATACACGCACATTAGATCATTTGCAATTCTCTTTTAGAGTACTATATTTTGCAGAAATCTGCACGTGAGATCGTTTAATTTGTATAATACATTATTATTGTCCTAAAATTTGTATAACATATTAATAATTTATAGTGAAACCACTATTTACAGATGTCAGTTATTACCTAATGGGAAAATATTCTCCTCGAATACATCTTTAAACGTTTTATTAGAAAAATAGTTGACATTTTATTTCACAAAAATGTTTTAATTATATTAAAATATAGACGATTAATATAGATATCACTGAATATGTTAGATATTGAGCGTTAAGCGTTATATTCGATGAATATTAATTACAATAACGTGTTGATTTCGGGTTTTTTTTTCGCAGGAAAAAAAAAAGTTGGATAATAATTAATAATATATTATTACGTTAATAATTATGTTGTTTTGATCCTTCATCATTGATTACATCGATACAATTAATCTTATTCGATTGCATATTATGGAATAAAATCATTCTATGGTGGTTGATTCACATTATACTAATAGTATTAATACAATAATTAATTATTTATTTTTTTTATTTTTGTGAAAATATAATTTTTTCCGGGACATTCTAAACAAAGATTCAAATTAAGTATCGATTTCAACAATATCTATATAAATCGATATTCAACGTTGTTTTTCACTACAATGATCCAATAATGGTAAAATAATTAAGCACTTATAAAATTAGAGCTTTAATGCAAAAATATCTGATCCTGTCGTATTGAAGACGTATTCCAAAATTTGTTCGTAAGACACTGCTCGAACAAATCCTCAAAACAAAAATCCTCCAGATCACTATAGGGTGAGGTGAGATGGGGAACTAATTGATAAAAAGCTATTTTTATTAATAATGTACGCACCTAAGAAAGAATATAAATCGTTGAATTTGACGGTGACGCAGATGTGTCGGGCAGAAGCGGCCTTATACATAACGCGCAACAAACACGCAACACCAAGCGATCAACGTTTATCGACGGGCCACATGCCTCGAACTATACCCGGGTAATACATAGATCTGCCATTAATAATAATAAAAAAATAATTACGATCGAATAAATGTTATGCCTAAAATATAATTGCGATTGATCAACAAAAAATGTATTCGTTAAGATAAAAATACATAACGAGCGTTAAAGTCCATAAGATTTGATCGTGGGGCGATTGCTACGGTGATTATATATTTCCGAATGGATTAAAACCATATAATATATTATTATCTCGACGAAATTATGCGTCCATGGAAAACGTGTCTCTGCTTGACATTTATACGAGACATGTTTATGTGAGAAATTCAAAACTGAAAACAAAGAAACCTATGTGATCGGGAAAGTAAGAACGCATTATGGGAGTATAGTGTACAAGGATTTCCTCCAGAGATTTTGTCAAATCAAAGTTACCTATTCGCATTTAATACACTAAAATATACTTGTAATTTCTAATTGGAATCCGAGATAGAAAATAAAAATGAAATATACATTGACCATATGTAGTTCATAATGCTATCACAGTACGATGATGAAATAATTATAGATGTACTATATTATATTTCTAATCATATCATTATCCACATAATTTTAAAATGTTTTCTATTTTCAACAGTATTTCTGTGCGAATATATAACGAATATAGCACTATTGTTTCATTTCTCTCGTACGTGATTCTTATTAGAATATCAAATCTTCACTTTCTGAATCTATACTATGTATAATTTCGTATATTAATTATTATACAAAAAGACACGGATGAACAAAAAAATAATCAAAACAAAATATTACAATCGACGAATTTTCCAATAATCTACTAATTGTAAATTAACCTTTTGTAAAATGTTATCTGTTTTTACGAATTAAACTTAATCGATTAGATCGCATATCGTTATCGTATATAATTTAAATATAATTTAATGTAATATAGGCTGTCTTGAACTGTGACTTCTCGTATTCAATATACACACTTATAAAGGTTTTACGTTTTTGTAGTATTGTTCTTATTCTTGCTATGCAGAAATATAGATTTGCCAATGACTTTGGGAAAGTATACCTTAAGTGCTCAAGTCGACGCAGGAGTGGTGTACAAGAGGTGATCGTATTAACACATAATGAGATCTACTGCTCCGAGATTCACTGCAACCGAAGGCCAATTGCAATATTCGTGTAATGGAGAAGATATGTTTGATTCTTAGACGTCTGCCGACGGAATACGTTAAAAAAAATATAAATATTTATTCACTTTTGTCTCATTCAATACTATACCTACCATCGTCGTCGGAACTTCAGTTTAATATAACTTCGGTCGGATAGATTCAAAAACCAATGGATGGCAGCTGCATTGTAACCCGACGGTCCAGACGAACGTAGATTGTGAATTAAATGTTTTTTTTTTTTTTTTTTTTGGAAATTTTAATACGCACTACTATTCTATACGCGGTACGCTTACACGATGGAACATCATACGGTTATAATATTACGTATTTTATCGCGTGGGCAAATAATGCGCACGATTCAAGAGTTCTGGAGGCGGCTAAGCGACAGCCAACAGTCATTGATAACGATATTCCGCGTGAGCAACGGTCGAGTAATAACAATAGAGACGGTTTTCTTCTTCGTCATTATCTGTTTATTAATTAAGATCTAACCGATATAGCACACCGTCCGAGCTCAGATCATTAAAATATTAAATTTTCAAAACCGGTGAGTCGAAAAACATTACAACTGGCCGTAGATAAAGAAAACAAAACCATATGACTTCCTGTGCGCATACATTGTGTGTACAGCTACAGGTGTATAAAATGTTACCATTGCACCACCCTCATTGAAATTGTACGATTTAGTCATATTCCTCATATGTATATACATATTACGTGTAGTTTATTTCAAGACGAGGCACGAAGGCAGACGCCGAATAAGATGCGCATTTTTTAGTGAGACTAAAAGTTGCAAAATCATCGTCGTTTCGTTGTTGTGTGACGAGTGACGAGTGACTGGTCCATTAAGAAAAGGTATACACTTCGGAAGCCTTCAGAAGTAGTAGAAGAAGAAAAAAAAATAATACACTAATGACCAGATTGCGGTTCTGAGGAAATCGTAATTTGACGGTGGTGGCCAACAGGCGAAGCGCGTGCCACTTAAACACGAGCGCGCGCGCGTACTCAAAAGACGTAACCGATTGAATTAAACGATTATTCTATTCAGATAATCAACGACTACACAGCGAGTTGTGTGAATGTGCGCGCGCGCGCGTGATTAGGACTTTAGGATAGCCAACAATAAAATATTTCCGGCCTGTTGCGTTGGCGCAACGTCTACATTTTATTCGATGGCCTATACAAAGTGGAAAAACGTATAGGTGCACAAAACGTATAGGTAAAAATGTATACGTAACTATTACGTACGTTTGTCTTTATAATAATTCGAGATTTAAGCGTAATTCCTTGCTCGTAATACATTCGTTTAACTAATATGTATTTACATTTACACATATATTAGTAAATTTCCTAATGGATATTACAAGACTGTACCTAGAAATTTTTTTCAGGGCAGGTCCAAAACATGTATAATGTAATTTTATTGAATTTAGATTTTACTTTTGATATTTGGTTAAAAATAAGATAGAAAAAGATTTAATCATCTTTTATTAAAATAAATATATTTTCATATGATATTATGAGATAAAATTAAAAGCGATCAGTGGATCAACTGGAGCTTAAGTAATTTTTGACTGAAAATATTTATGTTGGTATTAAAAATAAATATATATTTTAAACATTCGTAAAATGTTGAAAACATTTCGGGGAGGGAGGGTCCATACACCCTGGACCTTCCTCCGATACGGCCTTGGGATAATATAACATCACTGATTCTATTTTAAATCGAACAGATTTAAAA